ATTTTTCCGGACCGATACGACTTGGGACCTTCAAGAAAAGAGCCTACTCCTTTTTAAATGGCCAGCAACACGTTTGCAATTCCCCTGATGTTGCAGTTGTTCATGAGCGGCGGCAGTCACCATCAGGTGAGCCACATGTTCGTTGGCCCCGTCTCCTATAAAAAGAAAATACATGTGCACTTACGATCAGGTCACTTGTGATTGTGACTTTGTCACTCTTAATTTTATAAAAAATGCAAAGCTCGCGTATTTTATGCTCCGTTAATGAACTTTACGGGGAGACTGAGATACTTGACCCCCTTATGTCACTTTTAACCCAGGCTACCCTTAGCTTTTAATGATCAATTTTGATCCGATATAATTAGAATAAGCTCACTGCTTTGCACCGAGTTATTATTTTTTTTTTATAGAAGAGGGGGCAAACGAGCATGCGGCTCACCTAATGGTAAGTGACTACCGCCGCCCATGAACAACCGCAACACCAGGGGAATTGCAGATGCGTTACCGGCCTTTTAGAAAGGTGTAAGCTCTTTTCTTGAAGGTTCCTAAGTCGTATCGGTCCGGAAAATTCGCTGGTGGTAATTGATTCCACAAGGAAGTTGTGTGAGGGAGAAAACTTTTTCTAAATCGCACAGTGGTGGACCGCCAATCATCCAGATGGTATGGATGGTAACGCGAGTTTTGTCGCGATGTGCGGTGGTGAAATTGAGTGGCTGGAATTAGTCCGAACAATTGCTCAGAGCACTCCCCGTGATAGATGCGATAAAATACGCAAAGAGATGCAACATCTCTACGCAGTGCCAGTGTATCGAGCCGATCAGAAAGTATTAGTGTAAGATTTAATTAAAAAGTAAAATATAAAATCTTTGTCATATCTATCGTCTCAATATATCATATTTTCAAATTGTTTGGTTGGTTGGTTTTGGTAGGTGGCAATTATTTTTACAATAAAAAATCCAGCTTCTCGTTCTTTTTATCGTTTTCTTCTCCATAGACATAAGTGCTAAATAGATTATAAATTACATGACTTCATTAGGTACAACGCCACATAGATTCTTTAATAGAAGTTTTTTTTATATAACAGAGGGGGCAAACGAGCATGCGGCTCACCTGATGGTAAATTACGACCGCCACCCATGCACAACCGCAATACTAGGGGGAATTGCAGGAGCGTGGACGGCCTTTTACAAAGGAGTAAGATCGTTACTTAAATCTCCCTTAGTCTTATCGGACTAAAAAAATCGCCGAGGGTAAACGATTTAGGCAAGAAGTCGTTTCGTTAGAACTCCGAAAATAGAAATACAGTTAATATGATATGGATAATCCATTTGACCACACAACACAATTACTCTCTACCGAGAGCATATGACCAATAGATACGCTGTTTTTAACACCTATAAACTCGGTATACGCCTCTACGATATATTGTGGAGACGTTCTGCATTATGTATTATACTAGGATAAACATCCAAGCTCTGAACAATTACTTGTAGGTATTAAAAATACTTGTTCTGTGCGGGATTTGAGTCCGTGTCCCACAGCGCCGCTACTAAACGATTACCCACTACGCCACAGAGCCATCATATAATTGCCATTTTATTAATAAATAGATTATTACATTCGGGTTATTTTTTTAGTAATAAACAAATCAAACATTATGCTCTTTATTTATACCTAAAATTAAAAATAAACTATTTGACAAAAGTGCATACATAAATATGAAAGTATTTAATCACTTATGTGTACGTATAGATAGATAACAATACTTCCTATAAGTACCGTCTACCGCTACAATTTTAAATTGCAACCATCAATCCTATTGTTTTTAATTAACGTACAATTTTCTCCCAAACTATCATGAAATCTGCGAAAGCGAAGTTAGAAAATAAATAATAAAAAACCAGACCACTATTTGCTTGGACATTCAATAATTAAAAATGGCGTCGCCAGTCGCACTGAATTGTTAGGATCGGCGTCGAAAAATTAATAGATGGCGGAAGGAAAAACACTTTTTGTTTTTCAATCGTTCATTTTGAGTTCCGATGTTTTTTTATTATGTGTCAGTAAGATTTATTGCTATCTTCTAAAATAGGGCGCAAAGTTTTTTCCACTGTTTATTAAACTTATAAACGTTGTAGAGGGAGTGAAAAAAAGCGTAAACCTTCTTAAAGCACACAGTCTGGACAGAAGTCTGGAAGAGCAGACAGATGGCAAATGCATGCTGTGGCCCATAGACATCTACATTTATCTTTGATTACGAACCAAAATGCAGAGACGTGGTCACCCCTGAGGACTCAGATTAAAAAGTCTCCGGTTCTCTACATTCCCATACGAAACACAGCAGCAATAAGCTTCTATTTTACGCTGGTATTCTGTGAAAGCGTGGTTATACCCAAGTCGAGTTGACCCATTCGTGCTATAAACATACTCGTAATATAGCTGCAGCGTGGCTCTACCACGTAAAACTTGTTTTCCTTTATCTCTGGCTGGTTTTAAAAAACATATCAAAAATATTATGACAGATTATTGGCCTGCCGCCAAAATGACATTACGACATAACGGCCACCAGCCAAGCACTGACCGCACTTATATATTTGCGTCTAAAACAGATTTCCTCATTAAAACCGCAATCCCTTGCCAAAGCAATTAACAAAACTAAATGTTATTTACCCAACAAATCGCTAGGCGAACTCAGCATGGAGGCGAAACAGGCGGCCATGTTTAAATCAAAACAAAGGAGTTCTTATTTTCGCCGTAAAATTGGTAATGGGATTGGAGTGAACGTGCACTATTTTCCCCTTCCTGAAGTGTTAAGGTTTGTGCACACTAGACATGAACTGTAAAATATAATTAGTATTGAAAAATTTAATTTTTCAACACTAATTATATTGTTATGTGCTTGTTACGTAGTTAATCTACGATCCATAATTTAAACTTAAACACTGGATCACCTCGATGGGGGTGAGACCACGCTTACACATAATACCAGCATGAAATAGAAGCATATTGCTGCTGTGTTTCTTATGGCAAGTGACGAGAGCCAAATCCTGTTCACTAGTTACTAAGCACTCAATATTAGTTTGGCGGTGAAAGAAATTCTAATATTTCATATTGTCTCGTGATTTTCGTAAGAGGAAAAAGACGGAAAGTGATACAGAAAATGACGGCAGCATATTTCTGATAACAATTTAAAAAAGATAAAAAACTGCGTTTGCGAATCCGCCTGCCGAGCGTGGCAACTATAGTAAAATCCCTAATCTTAAGACACCTATGGTGAAGGCCTATAGGCTTTAAGAGATGGATGGATAAATACTATAATAGGCCAAGCTGGACAACCCATCTAATTTTTAGAGCTCGTGCGTATCCTTGCGGATCAAATCGGACAATTGTGTAGAAACCCTTACACCGAAACAAGGTAGCTTCACATTGCCAGTGAGTAATTAAGTTCTTTCTAACAGATTGATAGGTCTATGCGTTTGGCGTTAGTTTTAATTGGGTATTGTTCCGGACGAAATAAGTTCACTCGCCGTATTCACTAGCGCCATTTTATTTTAACGTGTAGTTCCACGATACTGCAAACGACACAGCTGGAGGAAATGCACACGAATACATCGACTTTATTAATGATACAGTTTTGCTTTTGTAAATACAAGCTTTGTGTCTAACAGTTTTACGCAATTATTTTATTATGTTTAGGACTAAATTGTTTTGTTTAAACTTCCATTGCAGCCCTTAACAGTCCACTGCTGAACAAAGGCCTCCCCCATAGATTGCCTAAAAGGGGAGATTTTTGATTTTGGGGTTGGCAACCGCAGTTTTTAATTATTTTGAGTTGTTATTAGTAAGATGCTGCTCCTCGTCTCCTGTTTCAGTTTCCTTCAGTCGCCTCTTACGACACCAACGGGACGATATGGGGTAGTGGATATTCTTACTACACGATAACGGTTTGTTTAAATTTAGCGGAAACCATTTCCTACTTCAAGGCAAGAGTGAATAGGCTTTTGTCACGCTAAGATATTGCGATTTACCGTCCAAGGCTACTTCACCATTTACCACCGGGTGGGATTGTAGTCAAGCACTCGTTTATAATAAATCAAAAAATTTACGTAAACGACGGAGACATCCACTGAGACATGGTTTTGGAAAATTCAATCCCTGAGAGGGTAAAATAAACCTAGCAAGCTAACAGCATAGCAAAGTGGCGAAGCAATCAGCTTTGTAGCGGTTTCTAACGGTTGCCGTTGAGCAATCAGTTTCAAAATAAGAGGTTCAGATGCCTAGGTGATCAGTAATCGATTGCTGAAAACAGAATATGAAAATTCAAAACCGTTCTCGAGATAATCGTGGGACAGACGGACAGACGGACAGACGAATAGACGGACAGACATCGTGTAATCAATAAGTGACTTCGCAAGCATCGCCACTTAATAAGGAGTTACAGCTTGTCTCATATATTAATACGTGAAGGGCAAACTTTGCACCCCTTTTTAGCTATTGCGCGTACGGAGGAGCACGGTATTTGGCAAAGTTAAAGTTAAAATAATATCCTCCAGTTCTAGCCATCTTAACAGGACAGTATTATAGTGCCTGGGTGTACGTACAAACACAGAAAAACTCTCTATTCCCTCACTACCTTAGTTTGATAGGACGGTAATCCGACACGACCGGAAAGGGATCAGGGGCAGGAATAACAGCCTTACGTGCTTTCCGAGGCACAGTGCGAACCACCACCACACTTCCTGACTCCGAGATGCTACTGAAAATTTTTTGACAGTTTTTGACCTGACCCGTGATTTGAACCCGGGACAACAATCGCGGTTGCGAGTACTAGACCGACGAGGTAGTCATGGATAATATTAATACCGTATTAAGTGTGCTGTGTTCTATGTCAGAATAATAATATGTATATTGTGTATCATCTATTATCAATTATCTATCTGATTCGTTGTTATATTCATAGTGATACCTTATTATAACTTTCATTTTTCTTTGTCCTCAGAATGTCAATATCTCACGAGCCCAATGCCACGTTCGCTGAATTAGTGATCACTAATGTGAAACCTGATGATGAAGGAGTTTACCGGTGTGAGATCACCTACCTTCAAGTTGGGGAGGATTGTAACACCGTGCAGGTCACCGACTTCCACACATACAGTGAGTACATTGTTGTTATTTCGTATTGGACTAGTACGGTCGTACTTTTGCCAATGTTAAGTGATAGAAAATTATCCTATAAAATTATTTGTTAAAATTACAATATGTTGATGTGATCCACATTGTGGAGTTTTTGGGGGATTGTGATGAGAACTTAATCCAGCAGATGGTCGATGACGACAATATCTCAAATTCTTACGGCGCATAAGCGAAGGTTTATATCAACATCCCAGCACTTGTTTCGTCATTCCCACAAATATTTCACATACCCAGTTACTTAAAATACAAAATCACATCACTTTTACGTATCAAAATCTACTGAAAACGACAATTTAAACGTACCGGGCATTGCTGCTTCTGTTTTATCGTTCAATCGTCTTGTTTTATCGTCAACTATCCAGTCTAGTCAAGTTCCCTCCAAAACCGTCAAATACATTTTATTTTTAATTTAGTATAGTGTAAAGTTATTTTTTTAAATACAAAAGGCACAGACATTAATTAACATTATGCCTATTTTTCGCGTTATGTACTTTAATATTAATAACTTGCATTCCGTTCAGAATCACTCGCCGTAAATTTCATAGTACGTGAGCAACCTACATTCGATTCTAGTCAGCATCAATGAATTAGTTAACATCGTGACTAAACCTGTGTATCTAAGAAGTAAGGTATTTCGAGGACCTTATCTAAAGTCCACACGCACTGAAGTACCGCAGCGGACTAAGTGCTCGGTCACCTTCTAGATATGCAAAGAAAATCTATAGATACAACCCGAATTGGCCGATTTGATAGTGGTAGGACCATATTAAAATATAATACGACTGTGGGTACATGTGGCTACCATAATATTTCTTGAGTTGAGTGACAAGAACCGTAGTCCCTTTTTACTGGTAACATGCTATTCGATATTGGTCGTCAGGGGTAGCAGTGCATTCACATTTTCATTTTTTTACGTGGTAGAGCCATGCTGCAGTTATATTATGGTTGTAGTACGTATGGGTCGGTTCAACCGGGGTGGAGCCAAGTTCTCACAGAATATCAGCCTAAAATAGCAGCTTAATGCTGCTGTGTTTCGTATGGTGAGTGTAGAGAACCGGAGACCCTTTTTACTGGAAACGAGGCACTCCATCTTAGTCCTCACGGGTGACAACGCATCTGCATTTTGATTTTTAATCGAGGACAAATGTAGATGTCTATGGGCCACAGCATCCACTTACCATCTGGTGAACTGTGTGCTCGTTTGTAACCCTTATTCTAAGAATAAAAAATAAAATATAAGTATCTACGAGCATCTAACAGACCAATCAATTACCATCCAGGTGGAATGCATGTTCGATAAAATTTTTATTATATATTAATTCTATAAAAAAAAGTATGGATATCGCTTTAAAACAATAGAAAACTATATCCGTCTTATTACAGAAAGTAGTTTATAGAGTAGTATGTGCAAACCTAAATTTAAACTATTATTTTCTACAGTAAATGTCAAAGTTCACGGAGTCTGTGGAGCTGTGGCTGAGGGACATCTATACTGAAACATTACTTTTCTATACTGTTAAGAGAAAATGCGGGCAGGTCAGGTGCTGCGAGCGCTCGGCATCCGCTTAGGACAACTGCAGGTCCGACAGAATAGACTAATTAAAAAGGCATAATTTGAGATTTGGCTTTCCACCATTACCTCCTCCAATATTGAACCAATTTAAAAGATATTTCATAAACTGAATAAGAAGGATATACGCTGTATCCTTATGTTTTTCCTTTTTCAGTATTAGTTATCGAATTTGTATTCTTGGTCTCTGTTGACAGTGGTGTAAATATGCAATTTTATGAATTTTGTAAGGGTTTATTGCTTAAAAAGATAATATATTATCAAAAAGGAAAACAGAGGGACATAGAAGTGGTTAATATTTATTTTCAGTCATAACTCAAAAAGAAAACAGGCAAGAGCGTTTGTATAGAGAAAAGACCAACCGCATTTCCTCTTAAGTATGGAACAATATTTTTCACATATTTAACATTCTTGTGTGTCTGCGTACTGTAATGTAAACCATTGTTCAAAATAAGACGGTGAGTATTGAAGAATTCGAAATTTAATATTTCAAATATCTAATCCATTACATCTATTTTTTAACAATCATAAGCCAGTGCTACAATTGAATGGAAACAGCCGAGCGTTTGGTGATCCAACGATGAAAAATAAGAATTTAATATATATATAATACATGAATAATACATGATAATAATACATGAAAGGGAATACTTAGTCTACCACTATTTCCTCCAATCTTCCTTCAATAGGCTTGCTAGAAAAAAGTTCATCATGGAATAAGTAGTGTCTTTGTACATATAGTCTTTATACCATTTTCCTATCAAAAGACGTGGGTACATAAACGATTAAATAAATAAATAAAACTCAGGTGCCAGTATTTTAATGTCAAAAAATACTTCAATTTCAGTAAAACAGATGAGGAATTGCGCGAACGTAAAACCAGTCACAAAAACAACAAAACACTCCGGCTAAGAGCATTAGTCTTTTACAGCGCGGCGACATTAAACGTTTATGGCGCACCTGCTGAAAATCGATACCAGTAAATTTACTTTTGATTTAACGCGTTAGAATTTTTTATAGAATAAGTTGGACAAACGAGCTCACAGTCCACCTGATGGCAAGTGATTGCTGTGACCCATAGACATCTGCATTTATCCATAATTATAAGATAAAGATACAGAACACATGATGGAAAGTTTAAAGTGAAACGCACACAAGCACACACACACACACACTCTCACACATACACACACTCACACAGCATAAGAGCACACACGCAATTATTGTACACTGTAAGTAATATATTATGTACAATATAGACAAGAGATATGAAGAGCATCGACTCCTGTAACACAGGCTTTCCTAGCACAGGTAGTCAAAGATCACTGTTTGCACATTTCGTATTCTGTACCAAAGTAATCAAATTATAAATTTGTGATTTGTGTAAGTTTTCTTTATGTGTGTGTCAATAAATTATTATTATTATTATAGTAATAAATAATCAAAATGCAGATGCGTTGTTACCCCTGAGGACTATGATAGAATGCCTCGTTTCCAGTAAAAACGCATACGAAACACAGTACTATTTTACACTGGTGTTCTGTGAGAGCGTAATAACCCTTCCCCGGTTGGGTCTCTATCACGTATAAAATTTTGTTTAACCGTTAATTGAGCAACTAACACAACCAAGCGAATCAATTAACTCGAGTGCCAATGATAATAATTGACAATAAAATGAATTGGAAACTCTTTACTTTTCAACGTAAGAAATAAAACTTTAATTTTATGGGTTTTATTTCGTTCAATTTTATTTTTAAATTCCCAATAACATTAACTTGGACTTTAACTTTTTAAATTGCCGAAAATGAATTATAAAGCTTAAAACTTAATGCGATAAAATTCGTAAAATTAGTTTCATTTAAAAAACTTTTGTTGGTTGTTTTTTTTTTTTAATCTATTGTCGTTTAAAAATGAGGTTTCTATGTCTAAAAAAGAAACGGCGAAGGAAATTTTGCATTTTTTCCGTTCTTTGTTTTCAATTTTGGATTTTTTTAAATTAATATTAGATGTATATATTAGATTTTTTTTTCGTGGTATAGCATGCAGCAGCTATATTGTTCAACCAACTTCAAAAAGGAGGAGGTACTCAATTCGACTGTATGTTTTTTATGTGTTTTACTGTTCTTTTTTTATTTCGATGATTCTTTCCTCGTGTAATCCCATATAAATTTGACCAAGGTCTGGCTAGTAGTTTTTGAGTTATCCTTAATAATTTATATAGAAGTCGGTTGCACAAATTTTATACGTTGTAGAGCCATGCTGCAGCTATATTAGTAGTATAGTTGTAGCACGAATAGGTCGGCTCTACCAGGGAAGGACCACACTCTCACAAAATACCAGCGTAAAATAGCGGCTCAACGCTGCTGTGTTTCTTATGGTGAGTGTAGAGAACCGGAGATCCTTTTTTACTGAAAATGAGGCATTCCATCTTAGTCCTCACGGGTGATAACGCATCTGCATTTTGATTTGTAATAGAGGATAGATGTAGATGTCTATGGGTCGCAGCAACCTTTTACCATCAGGTGGACTGTGTGCTCGTTTTTCACCCTTTTCCTATATAAAAAAAAAAAATTTACCACTTGTACGTGGTAGAGCCACGCTGCAACTATAATATGGTCTTATCACGAATGGGTTGTTTCGACCGGGGGAGAACCACACTCTGACAGAATACTAGCATATAATAGCAGCTTAATGCTGCTGTTTATCTTATGATGAGTATAGAGGACCGGAGGCTCTATTTACTGGAAACGAAGCATTCCATTTCAATCCTCAGGCGTGACAATTTTTTTACATATTAATTCTTAATACATACATACATATAATCACGCCTCTTTCCCGTAGGGGTAGGCAGAGACCAGTTCTTTCCACTTGCTACGATCCTTACATACTTGTTTTGCTTCGTCCACTTTCATTATTCCCTTCATACATGCTCTACGGTTTAGGGTACTCTTGACCTGGCCTTTTTTCAAGACGTCCCTGATTTGATCTAGAAATGTCCGCCTAGGTCTACCCCTTCCAACACTTTCATTCACACTCGCCTTATACACTTTTTTCGTCAATCGTTCTTCATTCATTCTCTCGACATGGCCAAACCATCTCAGCATACCTTTCTCAATTTTTGTCACTATATCTTCTTTCAGACCACAACGTTTCCTTACCTCACTATTTCTTAGCCTGTCACTCAGTTTAACTCCTATCATACTTCTTAATGCTCTCATCTCAACTGCATTTATTCTGCTTTCATGTTTCTTCTGCCATACCCAAGTTTCACTTCCGTACATGAGTGTCGGAACCAACACCCCCTCATGCACAGCCAAACGAGCCTTGTTAGACACCTTCCGACTGCTCATAAAGGAGTGCAAAGCTCCATTCACCATGTTTCCTGCATTCA